ATTTTGAACACTTTGGAGTTCCATACACACAGCATTGTGTCTAACATACCATGTAATCATTTTGTTGTGTTCTAATAAATATTTATGCAAAAATGTTCAATAAATAGTTACATTTTAGGTATGTTGTCTCATCTGTATTCACGTCACTATGGAGGTCTTTTCTACCCACCAACTGGTTTTCCGGGTAAAACCAAAATACCAGCGAACAAGCTGACATTTTAAAAACCGCTCACTCCAAATAACAAAAGCCAAACTGCTCATTTCCCCTCTCTTGTGCACTGGGTGCAGCTGCCAGCTTACTTCATGTGATCAATACTAAACACTGCACTACCTTCTGTCCTTCATGTATTCACACAATCTGGTATGGTTTCTTTTCCCCTTACTTTAAAGCCACCACAGCCTCCCAGGAGGTTACATGTCACACAAAGGTACACAGATGACATGAAATGTTTGACCTGACAAGTTGCACACTCTGGTGGGAACAGATTTCCTGACATCCAAGTGTGCGAGTGTGTCATTTTGTGTGTGGGCTGACGTCTGTGAACGTGATGTAGCAGTAATGCTGGTTAAGCTCCTCTTAAACTACATAATACAGGGGAGCTGACAGACCGCCTACAACCACCAGCCTCGAGAAGATGAGCACAGTCATGCATGTGTACACTAATTTAATCTAGCAGTCGTAAGACTTGCAATCACAGAGACACAGTGAATCATGTGAACATCTGTTATAAAGTATACACACACACGGGGGCTTCCCCGGTAGATGCAGGTTCACGTATCATCCCATTAATATAAAGATACACACAAATTATTCTGTTTACTTCTCTATTACAAATTATTGCAAACAATAAAACAACAGTCTGGGCCATCGAAGGCTGAAGATCTGTTTGGTCATAGTGCCCCCTACTGGTTATATAACCTTAATGCAGAAAGAATTACCCTCCTCCACCTTGAAAAACAGTTTATAAATTAGCCATTAAATACACCATCGTGCAACAGTTGCCACCAAGTAGCAGTGAAACAATACGATAATATGTCTGGTATTTATAAAAGGAAATGAGTTATTTGAAACATTTGCCCGCTTTTGGCAAACAATCTGTTGTTTTTCACGTCAACTCTCATGAGAGTACGTCGCTGTGGTAACTAACCCCTGGGGGAAAGACTGTACAGCATACATCTTTAATGACTTCAAAAAAGGAAAGAGAACTTGGTGCACAAGTTTGAATTTAGTTTGGATGTTTTCTAATCCACACAGGGTAAAAAATACACATACATTTACTTAAATAAGTGGCGCTGAAGGTTTGACAATATCTTTTAACTTGACAAGGCCAGCACTCACCGCTCTTTCTTGGTCGGGATTCTCTAAGTTCTCAGATTGGCTTCACTGTGGACAGTGAGCTGGTGTTCCAGCAGTTTCCAGTTCACGACAGGGTTCCTGGGTTGTTCCTAAACACCCTTACCATTTTATTTTTTTTACCTGAGGGTGACAGCTTGGGTCTTATTCTAGGCCTCAGTGACACATGAGAAAAACTTTTACTTATGTACAAGTTGTGTTACTCTACAATTCTCTTTAGATCTTCACTGAGTTCCTTGGACTTTCCCATTATTTTGGGTATTAGTCAAACAAGTGAGTACTGTCAAACAAATCCACTTTATGCTGGTAAAGAGAAACTAACTTTTATAGTCAATCATGATCACTAATGAGAAGTTAATAGACCTTGGCCTCGCCAAGTTAAACGACATTGTAGAACCCTCAGCACCACTTAAAAGATTTAAGCGAGTGGATGTAAATATTTGAGCCTATATCCATACTTTACTGTGTGTGCATTAGAGAAAATGCTAAATAGATTTAAACTTATGCACCTACTCTATTCTATAGTTGCTCTCACACTGTTACACAACACCGGGGCTGTAGCTGAAAGAATACAAATTAAAGTATCCTATACACATCTAACTATTAATTTAACAGAGTAACAATTATAATCTATCAGATTTTCTCATGTTTTAATGACAGAGCACTGATATCCTGTTTACTTACAGTCAGTGTTTTTGGTCACTTTCCTTTCTGGGTTCACAGAGATTAAACTTATCAGTGTAGTAGATCATTTCCAGAAATACAGATTAAGGCACTTAAAACACACAAACACACACAGTCCCTTTCCTCTCTGCACTGCAGCAGCTTTGTTGCTTACAGCCCGTACCATGCGTTTTACTTCTTCATACAGCATTTTGCTAAAATCGTAGTTTTCTCTTTCTGCTGCCAGCAGGCCTGTCCTTGTTTATGATTGGTCAGACGCCCCTTTCACATGAACACAATCCTAGCTAGACTCCAAAACCCTGGTTTAACTTTTCAAGTTGATAAACGGCTTTGTGTGCCCACTTATCCTGATTGCTTCACTATAATGTTGGCAAAGCCAAATAAAACATGTTGAACTTTCTTCATAGCACATTCCCCCGGAGAAGATTTGGTAAACCTATTAAAATCACAGTAACTTGGTTTGTAAAAAGGAAACTTTTTTAAAACAAATTAAAAAAAAAAAAAAATGTATTAAAATGAAACACCTCTTTTATTCAATGATGTCTTAGTAACACAACATTGTCAAATGCAGCATTTACTGCAAATAAGTTAAAAATGTAAACAAAACGTTAACTTTATATTTTTGTAATATCATTTGGGACGTGGCTTCAGGAGGTAGAACGGGTTGTCATTTTTCATACATCTTTACAATTTTTGTTTGTCATTTTGAATATTTATGATGTAAATCTGCAGTGCTGCGACTTTAAGAGGTATCCTTCCTCGACTGCTTTTACGGACTTCTTCTTCGATCCTTTTTTGCCCTCCTGCTGAAGATTTTTTTAGGAGAGTGTTCCTCATTTAATCAAATGGTCTAAAGGCACGAAGGGATCTACAGGCTTGTAAAGCCTCTTGAGGCAATTTCTGACATTAGTTGAAATAAATATAGCATTGACTCCATACCTGTATGCCCTCGATTCTCTCTGTTACCACATAGGCATGATGCATAGCAATGAGAGGAACCTTGACTCCGGCCATTTCTCCCAGCTTGGTGGCCCACACACCTGCGGTAACACAGAAAGGCAAAAATGTCATAAACGTGTTTAACACCAAACAAATATCCTTAAAAATTGTATGGATTTTTCTTTTCTCATTGTGATTTCACTTTTACAGGATACAGTTACATCAGGAGAGCAGTTGCAGGTTACATAAAGACTGCTTTACACTGTGTTACATTTGTGGATTTGTCATCTTTGAAAAAGAAAGGCAGCAAACCTGCACAGTTCACCACACAAGGTGTCTCAATGGTTCCGTGTTGTGTCTCCACTGCCTTTACCCTCTTCACACCGATATCATCAGTTCGCACTTGAATGCCAGTTACAGGACAGTTTTCGATCACCTGACGTAAAGAATGGAAAACTGAAATGCTGTATGCACTTTTCTCCATGCAAGTACAATGCACAGGGAATCAGTCGAGTAATATTACAGACGTTTAGATGTCCGACTGAAGAAGCCTCGTATTTACTTATTACTACAGAGGAAAAGTAACGTAACATGTGAGTCATTTGTGCAAAGCTTGAGAATGTAGTGTAGTAGTTGGGCTGTTCACAATATAAAGACATGCTAAGTCAAAACTAAGCAAACAGTACATACAGTCTGCCATTTAATGATCAGTGCATTCAACAGTTTTCATATGTGATTTATTGAGATCTGGCAGGCGTAACATAACTGTCAAAGAAATGTAATTGCTGCTTTGCTTTTTAAAAATGTTTTTAAGACTTTACTTTTTGATCTATAAACTAGCCATTAGGCTGCTGTGCAATGTAGATGTATTCCAGTCTCATCTACTCAAAAACATGTACCTATAACATCAAAGTGCTGTGTGCCGCGCCTGTGTCTAACAGCCCTAGTCTACTGGACTACAGCAATTAATGTTTAGCTATTCACAGGGTTATGGCTTGGCTATCTGCAGAGGATATCTTATTTGGATAAGGGTGCTATTTTTGCACTGCAATATATCAAAAAATAAATAAATACAGTGGCTCAGAAAATGTGCACAAATGGCATGATAAGTCAAAAAAAACAAAAAACAGTATTTGAAATAAAAGAAAACATAGCTTTTAAAGCTATTTGTATGGCTATAATATATATACATACATACATACACACATAGATTGAAATCTATGGGTAGAAACAGAATAAAGCTGGCCATCAACTAAAGAGGCATTTAGCAGATCAGTAGACATTACCGTGGCTCCTCGGGCAGTGGCTGCCCTGGTCAAGGTTGTGCAGGTACCTGCAGGGTCCATGGTGCCGTCTTTTGGAACATACAGTGTTCCATAAAGATCATCGACATTCATCAGAGGATACAGGTCCTTCGTCTCAGCCGGTGAAAGGACATGGGACTCAATACCATAAACTTTACCCAGCTAGAGAAAAGAAAATGGGGAGATGACGTGTTCAATGTAAATATTACTTTAAAGGCACCTTTGTTCCAAATTCAAATAAGTGGTTAGAGAAAAATCTGCCATAGTTTTAAATCATATCAAAGTCTTTATCTTCATGATAAAGCAAACAGAAAGACTCTTTTCAATAGTGTAACTATAAGTTGAGTCTGTCGCTATGGCAGCATAGCGTTCTGCATTAGTTTTATAATATGCAAAGGGAACAGTAGTGTTGTTTGTGAACTTTGAAAATCTAACACACACAATTAAGGTAAATTAAGGTTTTTTTCTCTCGTGTACCTCATGTTAAGCAGTAAAAAAAAACTTTTTTAGAAAACCCACAATCAATTTTACATTTAAAAGCCCCAAGGAGGAGCAGCAGTCGAATGTTTCATGAACTAGAGCGTTCCCTAAACACATCCTGTAGAGGCTATGTCTGTAGTGCACACATATTAAGCCGATATGTCTTGTTCTTTGGTGCTTGTGACTTCAGGATCCTTAACCCGAAGAATAGAATTATTTATGAGACATTACTCACCAACAACTATCTGAGTCTCGGAAATATTTAGTACATTTACATGCATAAAAAAAGATTTCCCTGTTGCAGATGGGTAAATGTGCATAAATATATACATAAAATCAATCAAACTGATTTACAAACTCAAATACTTTGAAATGAAGCGTCCTTTTCTTGAAGCACTGTGAACTAAATAGAAAACAAACAATTTTGACTAAGGATAATATTTACTTTCATCTTGTCTAATTGCTGTCACAGAAGTACTTGCTCCATCTGAAGTCTTTGTGTGACTCCTTTTGTATCCCAAAAAGTTAATTCTGTTCATTTGGATGCAGCGTTTTTAGCAGAATAAACACTTCGTCACTCATCCAAGTCTCAGCTGAGCGGAGATTTCCCCAACCTTATAAACAGTTCACTTACATAATGATTGAAACTAATGACTGAAACTAGCACCACTGACGAACATTGGGCTGTGAGGTCAGTTTCCTCATCATTAATATGAAAATTGTCATGAGCATTGATCAACAACAACTGATCAACAGACTGGTCAATGAATACAAACACATTTTTAATGTGTTTTGCCTCTGTTTACCGAACAGTGCATCTATGCTTTCCTAATAATGTTCACAACCAACATGTCTCTGTCTTTACCGACATGAGGCGCTTGTACTCGTCAAGTCTTTGCTTGTTGGAAGCAATGAAGAGCCCTCCGTTCTGGATCCAGCCTGTATGGAGACCCGTCTCCTCCTCTAGGTCTTTGCTAATCACATTCCTGGTGTGGGCCAAGAGCTCTACCTCAACATCACTGGGTCGCAGCTGCCACAGGAGGCCTAATAAACAGAGGGACACATGAGTGCAAAAAACTTAGTGGACATTAGTGAGCATCTCGCACATCACGCACATGCAGGTGAACACACTTAATAATAATTACTACACAAAATTACCAAAGAGTGCTTAATTTACTCTTAAAACTTCTTATTAGAACGCTGCTATTAAAGTAGGATGTATAACTTCAGGCAAACACAGCTCTCTGTACTGTTACAGACTGTTACCTGCAGTATGCCAGGTGGTGCCAGCAGTCAGTCTGTCTCTCTCCAGTAGAACTACATTAGTCATTCCCATTTTGGCCAAGTGGTAAATGGTCTGACAGCCCAG